TTTCGTTCACGACGACACATCACTAGAAACAATCAGCATTTGCTAAAGTAAAAGAAGGAACGCTTGTCTGAACATTCATTTCCATTACAGGTGATTCATATATTTGGGTTATTATCTCATACACTTAAAGTTGTATGGGAAACAACTAAAATAAAAGATATCCACACATTGTGTGTCCACACCTGACACGAGCTGCACACATAAACAAAAGTGAACGCACCTGGAAAACTCGTATACATTTTGGGAAGCATCAAGGAAACATTTTGATTTTTAATTGGAAAAAATGTTTACAGTTGTCAGGCTAAGCAATTTCTGATGTTGGACGATATTCTAGTTTTGATTTTCTGTTACCTCGAATATCGTTTACTTCAAATATATATTTGCCTTCTTTCTTCTCTGTGACTCACAGCCTCTATGTTACTATTTTAGCTGTTGCAGGTGCATGTATGTGGCGCATCTTTGGTCCCATTTGTTTACATGCACTGTCGCCTATAGGACCTTCCCAAATGATCTTCAGCCAACTGAGTTTATGTTGGGTGGAATTCAAGTTGGACAAACATCTCAGTATTCTGTCATGCAAAGCTGTGAATATGTGAAATGTGATTGCAACAAACCCCCAGTGGGTTCGTTCTGTTAGGAGAGTCCTTATATGTGTCAGAAATAAAGTATTAGAACATACTGCGTATGACCATTTGTAAGGGTATGTAATTTTTGCTTCCTATTTTCCCTCATTTACTACATAATAAATATTTCTGTCTTGTATGGTGATAAGGTTTCCCATAACAAAGAATCAGATATGACAGGACTGTAATTTAAGCTGGCAAAGAAGCCGAGAAGGTCCTTGACCCATCAGCCAGACTCCATCTCCTCCTTTGTGCACGGAGGAACAGGATGAGCCCTTCGAAATGACCTTCAGCAGATCTGAGCTCTAAATATATGACAGGAAGAAATAGATGCCATGGTTGTCAAGACATGAGAACTCCTCACAATGCACTCAGGCAAACACAGCCGCTACAAGCCACAGAAAGGGGGGGGCAGGAACAGTGGGTGTTAAAACCACAATCCTGGATGTTAGTGGCAGAAATTGAGAGATTCTACCCGTGGCTAGAAATGACTGGCCAACAGGACAGCACAGAGGCTCTGATCACGGCAGCACAGGATCAGAGCCACAGATGCAGCAATCTACCACAGCCAGCAAGATTCACGTTGCAGACTGAAAAGTGCCTCAGAAGCAGTATGCACAGTCCTAGCTTACATCCTCCTGCTATCCCCTCGACTGAGACGCACCAAATGTCTGGGATAGTGTACAGCAACATCGATGCAGCAAATTAATTAAAAGTCCCAAAATTCTGATGGGAAACCAGCGAAAACAATCCTGTCCTGTGGGACTTCAATGCTTCCTGTGGTCCTGTGGAAAGTTCCAGACAGATGGGTAGCTGTTGGCCAACCAGCCTGATACAGTGGTGGTTAACAAGGAGTAGAAGAAGTGATAGACATGGACAACATTCAATCTATTCAGCTTTATTTGTGTACTGCCAAATCACAGCAAC